GGAAGGAAAATTGTGTAGTTTTTAAATAATTTATTACAATTACCAAAATCAAATATATAAAATGATATTTCTTATATGAATAAGATGGGTAAAAAAATTATTTAATTTCTGTCACCTTTAATAAATAAACAAAATGTTTAAGTTAATATTTAACATTTATTTTCAATATGATTACAACTACTTGAAATTTAAAAGCACCATAATAATGAAAAACTTCCTTAGGAAAACTATAAGACAGATATTAATAAATATCAAGTTTTTTAAGCAATGAATTATTTTTTTTTTTTGCCGCGAATACAAAACTTATATAAATCAATATATTACCATAGAAATTGCTTTGAAACCATGGTTATTTTCATAGTCTGCTCCGTAGCTTACTCAAAAGTATCGTCTAACACATAAATATGTATATTGAATATAATTTTTCCATTTTCTTAACTAACTAACCCATTTCCTTACCCACTAAACAATTAATTTGAGCATAAAACTTACCTTTGTTGGCAGGACGACAATGTCGACCATTTGGAACTGACTGCTCGTAAATGCTGGGCTCCTGCTCCTTGGGTGGTGCTTCCACCATTGTCGAGCAGGATGTGGAGTTCAGGGGCAGGACCTCCCTGACTGGCGGTTGTTGTGGTGGCAACGGTGGGGGACCTGCTTTCGGTGGGGTAATGTGGAGCAGCCTCGTGGCATGGCCATTGGCATCGCAAACGACGCCATGCCAATGATGGTTATGCTCCAGCTGGAATGGTACATCCTGGACGTTCCCCGGCTCCACCACCAGGCAATCCTGCACCAACTCCTGCTGCTGCTCCTGAAGGACTTCCTCCTCGTCACGCAACTGCTGCTGCTTGAGCTGGTGCTCCCGAATGAGGCGATCTCGTTCGTGAAAATGACGGACGAAGGAGTGCTCGCCGGTGTGATTCGGGGTATTCGGGTGATTCTGGTGATTCTGTTGATTCTTTTGGTGCTGCGCTGCTTTTGGTGGGGTTAACGACTTGAACGTCTCTGCTTTGGGGGGATACCCGACCAAACCGGGCGGCAGACTATTAATTAATGTGCCCATTGTCCTTTGCTGGTAATGATGTTGTTGGAACATGATTTCGTGCAGCGGTATTAGAAAGTCTGGCAGGGATTTCTGTCTCTGTTTGACAGATGCCAGCGTCTCCATGCCAAAATACGAGACTGGCAGACATGTCTGGCCATCGCCACTTGCGGAAGTCATCTGCTGGCCAACATCCTTGTTGATGTCCCCGCTGCCGTTGCTATTATAATTATGATATCCAATGCCGTCGGCGGGCCTTAGATACCAGGGATTTAATATTGTTTTGCCGCGACAGCTTGAAGCCAGTGCTATAAATCACCGGGAAATAAGTGAAAACAGAAAAAAGGGTTAAACAATTGCATTTTTATAGACTAACCGAGATGAAGTGAGAATTTTCCCAAAAAAAATGTTGATAAAATGGGCTAAAAAAGGGTTAAAAAAAGGGGTTTCAATATCATTATCAACACTTGCTGGCTTTTCACCCCTCTGATGGTAAACAGCCCTGTTTCGTGCTCCTCCAACCCCTTTCCCTCGGCATATTGCCAATGGAAACCGTTTATGTCACTATCAATTACTCATCATTATGGAACTTTGATACGCCTTTTTACCTTGTAACCCCCTCTGCACTGCACCCTTGCCCATTTGGTTACGCGTTTTTTTTTTTTTTTTTGGTGGTTGAACGCCATATTCGCTTTATACAGTTTTCAATCAGTTTTTTGTTCTTCGTCGATCTTTTCGTTTATGACTTTGATTGATTATGAAATCTGTACATAATTTTGATTTTATAGTTTTTAGATAAGAAGCGGAGGGAGTAAAATCCGAACATTTGTTCATCGAAGTGTGGGCGTTGTACGTCATCAGGCTGAGTAACACGCCCTTCGCCCGGGGATGGGTAACTCTATTAGCTGCATTTTAGGACTACAAATGGAGATATTCGTATGGAAGGAGAACGAATACCAGAAAGCATACCAAAAAGATTTAAAAAAAGCTCTTATTATTAAATATTATTATATAACAAAACAATGGTGTGTGCTAACCATTTATTATTTAAATATTGTTTTTAAAGTTTTAGTTTTCATTTAGATTTAATGTTTATTTTGGCTACAAAATAGCAGTTTGACAATTTATTCTAAAATTTGTGCCATAATATTTTCAAAAAAAAAGTTGATCTGGTTTTTGTTACCCAAATATAAATAAAAACCCCACATTAGCTCAAAAATAATTTACAATATTTTTCCGACCTCCTTTAAATTACCTAGCCGACAACTGCTACTGTATGGCACATGATCACTTCATTGTTGGATCATTTATGAGCCAGTACTCAGCGGAGAAATACAGAACACTTTATGAATGAAACTTTGACCTATGGCTAATGATGCACAAAAATAAAAAAGCATCAAATACAATTGCCATCGCTTCAAGTCCAACCAAGGCAACCACAAAATGTTCATTAAAGCGTCCAGCACCGACTGAATAATGAGAGAAGTTCACGAATCACGAGACCGAGATAATTGTGATTGAAGCCAGTAGTCAGATCGGATCAGAGCCGATGTTATGGGTATTAATTTGATTTATAACCGGGGGTCGGGTAGAACAAAGCCGGCAAAGCCGCAGGAAAGTCATTTCCCCATCTTTTCGCCGGCACTGACTGATCCGGGTTCTTTAGCATAACAATAAAAAAAATATTAGTTAACGTTTAACCCTCTGTCACCCCTTCGGCTTGTGCTGGCCACGCGACATCTTAAAGATGCAAAAAGGGTTGACAAACCGGAAATGGTGCAGAAATATCTGACGGAAACTGTGGTGCCCATTTAGCTATTTTCCAGCCATCTTACTTAAGTGAAGCATAAATACGAGAGATAATTTTAATTGTTTGTATTTAAGACATGTATTTTGTTTGTTTATATTTAACAACAAAATGTTAGATATGCCAGTGCATGAACACATTTTTTTTAACACTTTACCAGACTCATTTTTACCGATTAGGAACATATCTTCGTAGACTTAACCACATTTTCCAATCCTTTTTAAATTATTAGATCAGATCTTGTTTTTTTTTTTATTTTAGTTTAATATTATTAGAGCCAAAATAGAAAAATAAGTTGTAGCATTTAAAATGCTAGATTTGGCATCGGTGCAAACAATATACGTCACCACTGATTGCGAAGCGTGCTTGGGATTATGAAAATGAAATGAGGGCGGGTCGGGCCAGAAAGCTGACTTTCGATAATTGGAAAGGCTTCCTGTTTTCTATAAATGATTTTTTTTTTGTTCCTGTCAATATGCTTGAATGCGCGTGCCAGTCAAGGTCCTTTCAGAATGCAATCTGTCGAAAGGGAACTCTCGCTGAAAGATGAAGATCCAAAGGTGAAAGTTTCAATCAAATGAAGGGACAAAAAGGATGCCTTGCTTGCACAGTTGCCATTGGAGCAGCTGTCTCAGCCGCACAAGCCGCAATTGTTAAAAAACTGAACATTAAATCCTTTTTTCAGGCTCAATTTGCCACTGGTGCCGTGCATCCTTTTGGCCCCGTCTCCTAAGCCGCGCAAGCTGTTTCAACCAACTCGAAGGCGCTCCAAAGGGATCCGCCTGCCATCACCATTTCCCCGCTTTTTTGGCATTGTTACTTTGTGCGATTATATTTACCTGTAACATGGCGATTAACGCGCATCCTGCTCTACCTGGTCCCCTCTTTATTGCTTTCCTATGCGCTTTGATTTCACATTGCGGCAATATCCTTTATCCTTTGTGCTCCTTTGTTGCATGCACCGGCTGGCAAACACATTAGAAAAGTGAAAAGCGGGGGACGGGGAAAGGGAAAGGGCAGCCCCGCAGAAGTGACAGGAGCGCAATGCATTGCCAGTTGGCGTCTTCTCTTCGAACCTTTAAGAATTTTCAATTACGCAATGCCTGCTAAGGAAATTCGCTGAATATCTCTTTTTTCGGTTGATTGAAATGAGTTTTTTTTATGATTTTTCTTTGGAAATATTTTTAATTGAGAAATTGGACCACACAGCAGCGAATGGAATCGAGTTGGGTAATTGTGTGAAGTCTTAAAGGCTATAAGAATGTGGTAATGTGGTAAAAAAAATGTATCAGTTTTTGATTTTAATTCTAGCGCATGATAGAATAATTTTAATTAATAAAATTATTTCCGCTTTTTAATGCATAACATATAATTGATTTAAGAGGTTACATACAATTTGTTCAGATATAAAAATTCTAAAACCTACATAGTTCTTCTGAGTGTATCATTTAAAGTTTGGCTAAAAATGTTTGTAAAAAACACGCAAATTGTTTCGCGGATATTTAATTGAAATATTGTCTGGTTCTGTTTTTTGAAATTATTTTTGGTACTCTTCCAAGGCCTCCCCCCACGAATTTCTCTCGCCCTACTGACTGATGTAACGAGTCTATTCCCAGACAAATACGTAACACACATAAAACACATTTAAAATATATAAAAAGTAAAGCAAGCAGATGAGAGAGTTAAAAACCATTTAGAAATGTTTGCATTATAATTGCGGTGATTATTTCGGAACGGGGTCATTAACATGTGACATTCAAACAAAAAATAAAACAAACAAACAGATCCGAAAAGAGTCCAAAGAGAATCACTCTGGACCGAGATCTCTGGAGAGCGATAAAATAGTTAAATAAGCATTTAGGGCAGCGAGAGCTTTCTAGACTGATAAGAGTTCTTTTGGAGAATTGCGGTTAATTGAAGAATGCCAAGATTTGTGCGGAAGATTCGACTGTTTTATGGTAGAAGCATCAATTTTGCCCCTAATGTGATATCTGTGGTGGTGAATCCGAGTGTGTGTGTTGTATTACCTCAGCCACTGAAGCGTGTGCTCGCTCCCTTTCGACCCGAATGCCCCCCTTTCGCTTTTGCCCGATCATGATTGTATAAATTGCCAAAGCGCGCTGCCAAAAAAGTTTAGAACTTTTCCGTCTGCGGCCGGGCGCGCAACTCCAGTTTAATTTTTGCTCTCGAATCGTGTGTTTTTGAGTGTCTGGACCATGGTCAACGCTCTGTGGGCCACGTTAATATCGCTCATGTTAATCGACCGCGTTTTGGCCAGCGATCTGTTTTCCCTGCCACCTGCCACGAATCAGCGCGAGGAATTGCTTGAGGACTATGGCCGATTTTTACTGTCCGCCATGAACAGGAGCGTGGATCCGTGCGAGAACTTCTACGAGTTCAGCTGTGGCGGTTGGAAGAAGGCGGAATTGGTGCCGGAACAGGCCAGGAACACCAGTTTTCTTCACGCAATCCAGCACAAGATTGACGAGCAGGTCCTGGGCTTTCTGCAGAATGCCACCAAAGGAGAGCTGAGGGATTTGGGTGTGAATGGCACACGTTCGGCGGAGGTGAAAGCCAAACAATTCTACGCCAGCTGTGTGGAAATGAAGGCCAACCTGTCATTGGGCTATCAGTATTTTCTGGATCTCGATGAGGATCGTTTGCAGAAGAGTAATGCGACTTACGATTGGATGTACATAAACTTCATGTCCAAATATGATATATACCCACTACTGCCTCTAAAAGTGCATTATAGCACTTCTTCTAGGAAGTTTGATCTACTTTTAACTCCGCCCATTAAAGTTCTGGGAGGTATAAGTGATGAGCAGCTGAAGAATATGACCAGAGAATTTGGCTTGGATTCAAGTGCGGAGAAATCTAAACAATTTGTTGAGAACTTTGCCAACCTCACACAATTCGAAAAGAGTTTAATTTCTGTAACAAAATTACGAAATGGAACAGAGCAGTCAAATTACAAGGATTTCCTGGCGAAACACAAACACGATCGTTTGAATTGGACGCGATTTTTCGAACTGGCCTTTAATGGCAGCCAGGAAGGCCACTGGCCAGTGCTCAATCAACTGGATAATGTCAACGATTTGGTATTCTTTCTGGAGCAAACAAATCTGGACACCCTGAGAAGCTATATTAAAATTAGAGAGCTGCTTAGGTTTTATGGCTTGTGGAAAACTCAAACGAAAGTGGGCGGAGTTCAAAGTGAATGTCGCTCTTTGTCGGAGACCTACTTCAATTACGCTCTTTTGCCCTGGTTTATTGGTAAGGTTTTCGATAGGGATAGACGTGCTGATATACTGAGTGTTGCGAAGGACATCAAGGATACGTTTTACGATCTCTTGGATCATCATACCTGGCTGGACGATGAGACTCGTTCGCAGGCCAAAACCAAGCTGGCTTCAATGGATATTTTAGTGGGCTATACGGATGATCTGCAGCATCGCGAGGTGATTGATGGGGTGTATAACGACATCAATATGACCGGAAATTGGTTCGAGAACCTGTGCACCATGGAGGGCAGTCGGGCCAGGATACGCCTGCGTTCGGTTGATAAGGCTCTGATTCCGCTACTTATGCCAACGAGAACAGTGAATGCATACTATGCAGATTTCCTGAATCTAGCCTTCATCACCATTGGCATGGCCCAGTGGCCTTTCTACCACATTGATTTCCCGGATGTTCTAAAGTACGCTGGAGTGGGTAACATTATTGGCCACGAGATGGCCCATGGCTTCGACTCCTACTGCTATCAGTACAATTATGACGGCAAGAAGACCAACTGGTGGTCAACAGCTTCTCTGAGGAACTTTAAGGAGCGCTACCGCTGCCTGGAATCGCAGTACAATAAGTTTATTCTGATGGGCGTGCAGACCAATGGCACTCTCACCTCCGGCGATAATATAGCCGATAATGTTGGCACCCGAATGGCATACTATGCATTTAAGCGGAAATCTGGCGACAAGGCTTGGTCGGAAAAGCCTCTGAGGGGAGTTAACTTCAACAACAAACAGCTGTTCTTCGTAAAGTTTGCCCAAACCTGGTGCAATGGCAAGGATAATGGCGAGAAGATCCGGAGACTGAAGACTGATGTCCACGCCTACGACGAGTTTCGGGTTCAGGGCACCTTGAGCAACATGCCCGAGTTTAGTGAGGCTTTCAACTGCAAACTGGGCACGGAAATGAATCCGCTCAAGAAGTGCGTGGTATGGTGAAATAAAGTGTAATATGTACAAGAAACAGAATGCTATGGTTTTTATTTAATGGGCTTAAGGTTGCGAAATTAAAAAAAAAAAAACAATATCAGAAATAAATGGTAAATATTAATTTTATCTTATTATGACAAAAGAAAATGTAAATTTTTTAATAGATTTCGTTGTGCTAAATACGAAATTGTTAACTTAACTATTATTATTTTTTGATTTTAATAATAGACTATAAATCTTCAATTATTTATCCCAGTGCAATAGTTTTAGGTATTGCAATGTAAAGAATTGTTACTACTTTTTTAAGAATATTAAAGAAAAGAGAGAAAGTGAACTTTTGAAACCAAATTTCAAATGCTTGTAAGGAAGTATTCAAAAACGACATATTTGCGCAATAATACCGTTTACTTATATTCTTTCTTTATGTATTTATGCATATTCGATCCATATCTTTAGTTTGTCTTTGCTATGTTTTTTTTTTGGGAATTAAAAACCAAATAATCATTGGTCAGCCTGCCCAATGATGACTTTATTTACTCATCCAAAGTGTTCGCTGCCTTAGTGCAATCAGCGATTTCGTGGCTCTTCTGCCGGCAGAAAATCAATATTTCACGGACTAAGCTGACGCCCCCCACTTAGAACAGCTGATGGCAATCGAATAGAACACAAATACTAATTGATTTGATGCAGAACCTGCTGCAGGAACCTCCCATCGGGGATGGGTTCTCGAACTGTGGGCGGGTCCCGGCAATATTTGTCTTTTGACTTTGCAGTGATGACACCTTTCTCATTACGAATTAATGGCATTTTCGGCCGGACAACAAAAGGTGCAACAAAAGGCCAAGAAGAAAGTCACCGGGTACACGAAAAGGTGCAGAAATTTAGGCTTCAGTTGAAAACCGTTGCCATGTTCTGTTTTTCCCAAAAAGAAAAACAGTTTGTACTATCATTAGTCGTCACTTGAGAGTCAGATACGGAGAACAAAACCAAAGCCAACGGCTACGACTAGGAGTCGAAAGGAAGTCAAACCGTTGGATGGATCGAGGCTACAGCCTGCATACGAAATAAGGACATGTATTTGCTTAAGGATATTCGGGCTTATCTCGGCCGTCCGAGCGTCCAAGCGTCCGAGCGGCGGCCTAACGGATTTTCATGCATTTGTTATGGATTTTCGGCGCCAGGTCTCTTATTTGCTGGGCAACAGGCAGGTAAACGATCCTGCTGCCTTTTGCATCCTCGCAGCGGGCAGTCCTGACTCCTGGCAGGTCGTAAAAATCCTGCTCATGCATTGCAGATAGATCATTAATTTAATGGCTTTTGTGCACTGTGAAATGCAAAGTGCACTGCTGCATACGGATACCCACATCAGAAAATCGATCGTGGAGGTGGTCTTCGGGCAAATCAAATTGCGAAATCTCTTAGGCTGGGAAATGCTAGACTGCCGTGCTCTATCTTATAATTGCATTTACCCTGCACAATGGACCAGTCAAATTAGCCTTCATTTGTAATCTTCTAGCACAGGTTCTCCGGTCTCCGGTCTCCGCCCCCTTCTCGACCACCTCGATCCCCCGTTCGTGGTCGCATTAATTCCATTTATGTAAACCATTGCAGAGAGGGCTTGTCGCTGGTAATTCGAAAGGCGTAGACGGTGTAATAAAAAATCAACTTGCTCGGGAAGCGAAGGGGGTGGATCCGGGCTGGGTGGGTGATGTACGGGTTTGGGGCCATAGCGGGAAATATGGCCCGACTGAAGGGTTGTCGGGTAGCTATTGGAAATTTAATTTACTTAAATTAGGAAAAATTATTCCTTAAATTACAAATGCTTTTACTCAAAGTACAAGATTAAGGTCTTTTTGCTCATCCCAAATGTGAGACAAAAATAGCTTTTACACAGGAAAAAACTTTGAGAAGCCTGCACTTTAAAACATACTTTAAGTGGTGAAAGAGGCATAACAAGATAGTTCTCTAAACCTGAATGTCGTAATTGGTGAAGTGGAAACTTGTTTAAGATATTACATATTTATTTTAAACAAATTTTAGCTTGTAACATTTATTTTTGTAATTTAATATTTAATTTGTATCTATCAATATTTAAATATTACTTCTAACACTTAAGTTTTAATACTAACCAATTACATAAATATACTGTAGCACATCTTGCATTTCAGACCTGATTTATATTAAAACTATTTTTATTTCCGTTACTGATTTTTATAGCTTGACCTGACAACCCTATGACTTCGTGCACTGTGCAAACAACTTGCCAAAACCATGTTTCCATAATTACATGCAGAATTCCTTTTATGCGACGGCAGCGTTGCTTCCGCCGCTTAGCCCATAATGCCTCATCCAGCTCAGCCTCAGCCTCAACCTTCACCCATCACCCCGTTCCACAGCAACCAACTGGCTGACCCACCATCCTCATCATCATCGTCCTCGTCATCAGCTCCACCATCGCAACAGAAATTGAACAAAAGGGGCGTCGTCGCAGGCCAAGCTAAGAGTTGAGCTTAGCCAGGCCAACAGTCAGGTAGGAACTACCAAAACAGTTGCACTTGCCGGGGAATTTCGGGGACTTGTGGCGGGAAACGGCAGGAATCCATCGGTGCACTAGCTGCCAAGTCCGGTGTTCATGGTGAATTATGAAAATCGTTGCGAAATTAAGTTAAGAACTTTTTGCAGCTTAGCAGGAAGCAAAAAGACAGCAGCAGTGGAAGTTGGAAACGTGTATGGCAGCGTGAGGAGAACGTGAGTAACTGGGTTTTTAACGTAAGTTGTTTTTGAACCAAAAAAAAACTGCTGTGAAATTTTTATGCTTGTTTTACGGATTTTACTATTCCAGTATGAATTAAAATTGTATGTGATATTATAGTCATTGAATTTACCAAGCAATTAAGTAACAACTCATTTTAGAAATCAATGAAATCAAGAAAGTTACCAAACATCAGCCACTTCGAATTGAATTAAAATAAATCCGTAAAATAATCTTGAAAAAAACATCATAAAAAAACAATAGTTTTAGGCTCCAAATATTTTTGACAAATACTAATATTCTTTTCCAATGTATAGATTGCCCTCAGACAACACTTTTTGTCAAGCTACATTTATTTGCCTGAGAAACCCTTAAACATTGCGGTCACGCTGCCACCTCTGGGTTCCTGCAACCATTGAACCTTTAGCTTTATTAAATGGAGATGATCAATTTAAATATTTTGCAATTGTTGTTGCCGGTGATGCGTGAGCACCCTGACCCTCGGCATCGGTGGTGCTCCGCCACAAGAAGCCACCGCAGCTGGGGCAGGAGCAACAGCTTTGGAGCGGGGCAAATGCATGCGGATCTTGATGCAACCTGCTGCTGCCGATGCGGCCGATGTGGCCGATGCTGCCGCCTCCTCTCGATTTGTATAAAAAATGTGCTTCATTTTATTTGGCCGCGACTGGCGTCCGCCTCCATGGGTAAACGCCCCAACTCTCAAGTTGCGAGCCCCCAACTCAAAAAAAAAACGCAGGCCAGCCGAAAATGCAGCCAAACAAATCGCATATGGATCGCATGGATCGGTAAAGGATGGGCTTCTGCTGGTTTTTCTGTATTTTCGCCAACGATTATCTAAATTGCATACGAAATTATTTTAATTAAAAATCTAATTTTCTTAGCTGCCTTACATGGTCAAGGGTACCTCGTTTTTTTCTTTTTTCTCTTTTTGGAGCAATAGAACTCCTCTTTCTCAAGGAAATTTTTGTTTACCATATAATGATCTAATAACGCTGGGAATTTTCAGTGCCGTTCAATTGTTTGTTCAATGAACCTTTAATTTGACGCGATTAAAATGATATTAGCGGAGAACGTCACATCTGTTGCGAAGGTTTTTCCTTCGGCAATTCCTTTACCTTTCCTGTAGAAGGTGTGAAGATATGACGGCGTCAGCTGGGACCTCATCTTACCCAACGTGACCGTTTATGGATTAATGATGCATAATTTGGTGAAGAATATTAGTCGGGTTTTGGTTAATTGGCGCCTTTCCGGTTTGGTTTCTTTTAAATAAGATCGGCAAGGGTTGAAGAAGACACAAAAAGTCAAAAATATGTACAAACAACTTTGGCTTCGAGAGTGTACTTAGTTATGAGACAATGAAGCTCTATTTTCTTAAATATTTCATAGGTTTTATACGAAATGCACTTTAAAAAAATATCTATTAATATCTAGCGTAAAAACTTCAGAAAAATTAAAAAATGTTGTTTAAATTTGTGTCTTATTAAATATTAACTAGAATTTTGTAAAAATGCTTAAAATCATCCTACCATCTCGAATCGAACTCATCTTCAGAAGCTCAGAAAAACTGAGTTCAATGCGATTCAATCAACCACCAACCGGTGCATAAAATTTAAATAAATGTTTGATTTGAATTTAATTGCTGCAGCAGGCAGAACCTGTCTGGGTTCCGTCAGAGAACCTCAATTGAATATAAATCAAATGCATCCGACAGCCGCACATCAGCGTGGATCAAAGGGACGCGCTAATCACACGCTGGGCCAAATAGGATCTAATTTCCACACAAGAAAACCCCATTTTTTACATGAATATAGAGGGAATGGGGAAGAGATCGACAAAAGATCATATGGAGATGCGTTTATAGAGAGATCAGGTGCAGTCGTTGAGCATTCAAATTTCGCGCATCTCAGGAAGATAAATGATTGAGCTGCTAAGACAGGTAGAGGAGCTGGCGGCAGGTAACCCAACCATTTCAATTTGAATTTCGACAATAATTAAGCGCAACAATGGATTTATTGGGTTTTCGTAAGGCACAACCAAAGAATTGCTTCTGCGGTCCACGATGCCAGCGAGCCTGCAATTAGTTGGGAACTCAAGACCCTATATCTAGCCCATTTCATCCGATCTCGTGGCAGTTGCAATTATCATAATTATTTTCATTCATGCGGCGATGCATTGAGCATCTCCGTCTGACAGTTCATCGCTGGCTGGTGAAGATTGGCGAGATAAATCCGAGTCCGTTCTGAATGAAATGTCTGAGTTCCTAACGCCGTTTCCCTTTTG